CATAATAAATGCATTCATACCCTAAATAGTCATTCTCTGAGTCCAAGGGTATCCTTTTGAGCTTTTTCTTTAACTTACCTGAATCTTTTAAAACATTTTCTAGGTAATTTGGTTCACATACTGCAATGTTTCAATGTGGTTCTACAATTAAAAATTGCTATAGTTTACATTGATAGTTTATGGCATAGAAAGCAAAACATCTAATCTGTATCTGGAAGAAAAAATCCTTTTCAAAAGCTTATAAGATTAGCCAGTCCATCATGATTATCCATGATGCTAGATAAGATTTGCCAAAAATGGTCCATAGCTTCATTGTTATAATAGTTTTTAACCAGAGGGTATGGCAGTCTGCAAAAGTGGTTGAAAGAAATAACTGCTAAAATAGGCTGTCCCACTTATTTTGAATTAATTTCATTTTGTGAATCAAAACAGGCTCTTTGGGGAAAGTCTGCTATTTTCAATGTGCTCTGCTACAGACAAATAGGCATAGCAAACAAATAATGGTAATATAATAGGAGAACACTCTGACATATCCCTGGCATTAATTTGTTGGTATAATTTTTGTTGTTTACATCCAGTCTTTCTGGTAGAACACAAAGTTTTCTTCCTACAATAACTCTGCAATGAAAAATATTTACTGGGCCACACCACCTGGTCAGCTTGCATGGCTGAGTGGATTTGAATAAAGGTCTCCCTAATTCTACTTCAAATCCTTAACCAATGCACCACAACATTATTACCCGAGTATATATCTATCCTTTCTGTAAATTTACTATCATTAGAGGTGTATCTGTATATTTTGATACAGATGATTCACAAAAAGAACATTTTAAATATTGTATTCTGCCTGAGATCTGAGCACATTAAAACATTTGTCTTATGAAGTCTTAATTTGATCATTCAAATACATGATGGTTTTAAAAAGAAAAAGATATGCATGAAATGAAATGAAAGAAGTGTTTTGTCCATGTATAAGAAATAACCACAGCCAGACTCTTGTAAGTGAGGATTGTAGGTTCAGCCAAACTGAAACCTGGTTGTTTTGGGTTTCAGCTGAAACAAAGTTAGAGAGATCTTATAGGATGAGAGAGTAAGATTGGTGCATCTCACCTCAACTCTCTCTCCCCTCCTCTTTTGCCTGGCCCATGCAACCACTCGCCCTCAATCTTCCCTCTCCTTTTCCCTTACTTTTCCTTAGCCATGCGTCATTGTATCCTCCATTGCCAAGCATTCCCAACTTGTACACTCTTCCCCTGATCTTCTTTTGACTTCTTTTTCCTTGCTAATCTTAGACTGCTGACCATGTCTTCTTGTTGCAGGACTATATCTGGACCAAGCATCTATGTTCTAGTTTTGTGTCTAGAACTACCCGTTCTGTATATGTAATGTTTTGGGCAGCCCTAGAAAATAAAAATGTATTTTGAAGTAAATCAGCAAATAGATAATTAAAATGTAAAGTATTTTTTCCTTCTGAATTTTATTTTTTCTTCTAAATAGGAATCTTCAGAAATTAAGTCTCTTTGGTGATATAAGCATTCTGCAACAACATGGAATTATATCAAATACATACCTCAGCAAAGTAGATCCAGATGGCAAAAAGATTAAGCAGTAAGTTGTCTGCATAATTTTACTACAGTATTGCAAAACTGTATGTATTGTTTCATATAAACAAAAATATAAATATAATGGTTTTACAAACTCTAAATTGCTCATGATTTTGCAGTAGCTGTATTACATACATGGTTAGTTATTATTACTGGCATTGCGTAGCTCTTTTCAGAAAGTAGCCATAAAAACAGGATTGAATGGTGGATATAATTAATAATATATATTTATATTTACATATGCCACATTATACTGTATGTAGTCCTCAATTTACAATCACAGTTGAGCCCAAAATTTTTGTTGCTAAGTGACACTTGTTAAGCGAATTTTGCCCTATTTTACAATTTTTCTTGCCACAGTTGTTAAATGAATCACCACAGTTGTTAAGTTAGTAACATGGTTGTTAAGTGAATCTGGCCTCCCCATTGACTTTGCTTGTCAGAAGCCTCAAAAGGTGATCACATGTCCCCGGGACATTGCAACTGTCATAAATATGAGTCAGTTGCCATACATCCAAATTTTGTTCACGTGACCATGGAGCTGCAACTGTTGTAAATTTGAAAAATAGTCATAATTCACTTTTTTCAGTGCTACTGTACATTTGAAAAGTTATTAAATGAACTTTTATAAGTCGAGGACTATCTGTATTAGCTGTCCATGGCCACATGCAGCCCATGGACTGTGGGTTAGACAGGCCTGGGCTATACGTTTATCTCATCCAGTCCCTTCCTGTTGCAAGATCTTTTCTGAGCAGGTCTGCAAAAATGTTATGCTACTATAAAAAATAGATGCCTTTCAAACAAGTTCAGTCTAGTGAAAAGAAAGTTGAGTGCAGAAATTCTTTAGCAGTGACTTTCACGAACTTACCTAAATCTAGCAACTTTATGTAGTAAACAGAATATTCATCTGGATGTTGAAGAGAAAGATGTGAAACAGTATTATTTTCAATGGAGTAAAACTGAACAGATAATTAATGGTAGTTGAAATTTCGAATTGTTTCTTAGAATCAGTGTATTTCATTGCTGCCACTGACTGAATGTTTAAATAATCAGCAAATAATGCCATAGATTGTAACTTTATTCACATTCTTTCTCACAAATGTCTCATTGCTTATTCTAGCCAATTATTTCAAAAGAATATTTTGTGAATTTTGAGTAGTTATTGCATGGCTACAGATACAATTAATTTATCCAGAAAAACTTTCTAGAGATCTTGTAATATAGAGTTTCCCAACCTTTCCAGCTTTGCAGACCGTGCAAATGGAGCGTGCACGCATGCGTTCACCTGCTGCTCACGCAAGTGGGGATCCGTGCATTCTCTCAGGCCGTTTCCACTGCCTGGTTCCAAATGGCTCACAGCCCGGTAGTGAGCCAGGGGTTGCGGACCCCTGTTGTAATACCTCTCACGTAATGCAGTACAGGATGCAAGCATCACTGGATTCCTATTTTCCATCAAATGATAAAACCTTGGGACACATGGAATTATGTTCCAGTGTCTGCCACATTGCAAAAACATATTTGTGTGTGTGCAACAAACTGTAGCATAAATGTTGCATGCATCAGTCAAACTTTATTGGATTGTGTTTTTACTAGTTTTAAGTAAGAACAAAGATTTTTCTCAAATTGACAGGAGAGAAGTTCAAAAGTAATGTTAGAAAGTATTACTTCACAGAAAGAGTAGTGGAAGCTTGGAACAACTTCCAGCGGAGATAGTGGATCAGTCATCAGAAACTGAGTTGTAATATGTTTGACAAAAATTAAAACGTACAAATAAAAATAAAATGTAATAATAATAAGTAAAAATAATAAGTAAAAAATAAAAAAATAAAAAATTCTAAGGTCAGACTCAATGGACCAATAGGTATTTTTTCTGCTGTCAATTTTCTATGTTTCTATTATAGATTTTTATTTTGAAGGCATTTCTACTTTCCACGGAGTTGTAATTTATATGCTTGTTTGCAGCTTCCCAAACAGAACTTTCTGATACAGACTAATTAGATGGTTGGATTCTGATCTCCAGTCAACCATAAGGCTTGTTTGCTTAGTGTCAGCTAATCATTACTTTTTGTACTAACTTTCTTCACAGTAATTAGAATGCAGTGTACATTAGGAAATCATATACAATGGCTTGATCTTCTTGAGGGAAGAATATGGTAATTTTTATCATCACTACCATGGGACTACATATATAAAGAACAGTTATTACTATTTTTGTAATGCTTTAAGGTGAACACGTCTGACCAAATAAACAGAAATTCACAAATGTTCAATCATCTTGAAAGTGAGAAATTAATATTACAAAAAAAACTATGACAGTATGTTTTTATCAGGAAATGTCACATCCACCTATTTATATTCAAATCAGTTGGTACATTGAATAATTTCACTTTGGAATACTATTTAAATGAGAAATGTTGATAGCATGGAATAGATAGGTAATGTTATTTACTTCATCAATCTAGGTTTAGGTTAGGTTTAGGTTAATTTAATTTGTATACCGCCCTTCTCCCGTAGGACTCAGGGCGGTTCACAGCATATTAAAAACACAAATACAATATACAGGATACAAAAAAATCATACAAAAATACACAAAATAACCCCACTAAAACCTAATTAAAAGCCAAATATTGATTGCTGTGTTCCCATTAAAATTACTTTTTAAAAACGTCCCTAC